CACCCAGAGGCATAGCGAGGGAGCAAGTGGTCCTCTTCATTATCCCTTGGATCCATTTATGAGCTAGGGGCATACCACAGTAGGAATGGGTGCCCTTCCCCCAGGCTGCTCCACAAGATCTTGATGATTGAGAACATGACTAGCTGGGAAGTAGATATATGCCACCTAGTCTCTGCAGCACTCATGGGGTGACACTGGGCTGAGAGAAGAGGGAAGGCATCTCCCTCTGGAGGGATGACATGGAGCAGCCAGGGCAGGAGGGGGAGAGACAGTAGCCCACACAGGTGTCCTAAGGAATAGGGGTGGGTGGCAGCAAAGGCCTAGCTATGACATCTCCTGAAAGAACCCTAATGGGGGAAGGGGGGCGGGTGCAGATGAGAGGGACAGCTGGGACTGGAGTGACTTCTAGGTAAGGCAAGGAGTGTGAAGCAGGGAAGTCCCTTCACCCTCAGACTCTTCAAGGTGGCTAGATGGCAGAGACAGGGCCAAAAGGCTATTAGGGATCACTCTGCTTCCTTCCCAGGAGCAGCAACAGAGGAAGCAGTTAGTTGGGTACAGTTGCCTTACACAGGAAGGTGAACAGCAGGAACTCTCATGCACATGACAACCAACGCGTGCGTGCGTGTGTTCCTGCTGTGAGAGACACTCACACACAAAACAACAGGAATTTATTTCCTTTATTTTAAAGGACTCCAATGGGCCTGAGAACATTATACTCTTTAACACCTTCTTAAGCATACAGAGTGGGATATGCAAAGATTTTTCCCTCAAGAAGAGTTAGTTTTCATTTACTTACACTGCAGGCCATAGAGATCACATGTTAGATGCACAATGTCATTCATAACAAAAAAATAAATTTGAAGAGATGTCAGGCAGGATTTACAGTAGCATTAAGTGATCGATGCCATCATGTTGTTTCGTTTGCAATCCCAACAAGTTGCTGAGCCAGTCATTTATTTGCAAGAGCTCAGAAGACAAAAGAGGGTTGTTGATGAAGGTAGTTATAGTGCCCCCAAATCTAAAAAGACAAAAGAGCTCCACAAAGCAGTCTCACCATCACTCCCAGAGTGAAAGTAGCTGCAGTCCTTTCATGCAAGGCCTTTAGAAATACATTTGGGGGCAAGGGAATGAAGCTCAAATTAAGGATGTTAAACTGTGTTGTATCAGTCAATCAAGTAGTTTATGGAATTTTCATTGACTACTCGATTAGTCGATAAGCGGGGAAACTGCAGAGCCACAACAGGGCAAGCTCCCAGCCCCAGGAGCTAACCCCTCTGTGGCTCTGCCTTTTAAATAGAGTAAGAGCCACCCACCTCTTACTGCATTTAAAAGGCAGAGGTGTAGCGTGGGACCCAGACGGGACAGGACAGCTGACTCCCGGCTTGTACCCGATCCCCCGCTACACCACTGCCTCTCCTGTCCTCCCTCAGAGATGGTACTAGAGAGAACTGACTTTTAAGCTGGCTCTCCCCAGCACCAGCTCCTGCTCCCCCACATGTTGCCTCTGATAGAGGCAGCAAGGGCAGGAGAGAGAAGCGACTAGTTGAGTAGTGACTCGACTACCCCATAAGCCTTGGGCTACAGAACAGGCTCTACTGCTGTGATGTTCTTGCATATGGGAAGAATGTGCATGTGAGCTACCCATAGAATAGTGCATGATGCAGGACATGAAACTAAGGTGCACATAAACTGAAGGAAGAACTATTTGTTTCTATCTTACTCACCACAGGTGGTGTTTGTCTTTATAAGGACAATTTTTAAGCATCTAATTTTATTTCTAAGTTAAGGTGCTCTTTTAAATACCCATGGTTTTTAAACCACAATGTATTTATACTTCTTTCTGCAATATAAAGCTGCTTGTGTTAGTGACAACTATTGAATCTTAGGGCCCAAACTGACCTGCGTAACATTGTCTGCTTGAGAGGGGGAAAAAACCTTAGGTCCCAATTTTGCAAAGCCTGATGGTCCTGTGCCTGCATACTTTGACATCTGAGATCAAGGTCTGAGTTGCTTATTTGCATTTTGGGAATTCTTCTTGCCTTTGGAAATTGCTTCATTCTGGGATCCGTAATAGTTCCCTATTTCAAAATAGGGATGTTAATATTTATTAGTATGTGCTCTCAGGAACAAGTTTGGGATGTTTTCTTTTGGTTGTCAGTGCATTCTTGTAATTAGTTTAAGTTTTTTTTTTTTTCTTTAATGTCAAAACAGTTTAACTTTTATAAGAAGAAAAATATAGTAAGTAGAGTCCCTGATTTCTCGATTTTTAAACTCTCCTAGGATTATTGTGAAACCACATATTCCTGGATTTCATATTTGGTTTTCATTCATTTTAGCATTAGGGGACTAGCTTTCTTCAGTGCTATATCATATGCTTGTTATGATGTTAGTCGGAAATTTAAAATGTGCAGTGAAGCAGCAGTGAATAGAAAGCTGAGAGACACTAGCGTTACAATGAATTAGTTATCTTTTGATTGTTTTACTGATAAGCACAGTATTCATTTCCAGGACTTTTATTTTTTAGAATTTGTAACTAGAATTTTTACGTGCACTTGAGTATTTATGCCCATTTTTGCTGAGTGCTTTTTTAAATTGTGGTGGTGATGATGTCACAGTGATGAGGTAAATTTAATTCTATGCATAAATGACCCCATTTCCTGGTATTTTTTGAAAATTATTTTGAATTTTTTAAAAATAAAGCGCCTCACTGAATAAATGTAATAAATAATCTGTTGCAAAATAATCTGTTACAAAGGTTATTCAGAGAAGTTGATCCGTTGTTGAATCCTGTGATTGTATTTTTTTTTTTATTCTGTTACACTGAAACTCTCACAGAGCCAGGAGGTCAAACCTAGAATCAATTTCATTTCATTTGCTTAAGTATAATGTTTAGTCTCTGTATATTAAAGGGACCAACAGTCATGTTATATTGTTGTGATTTAACATTTACTTTTTGTACGACTGCAATTTTGGATAATAGAAGGGTTAACAATTTTGAACAGAGGTAGCCAAATTAGCAAATGTATGTGCATGTGTGTATATATATCCGAATATTCAGGTTCAAATTGTATTTTATGATTCTCTCCTTTATCCTTCCAGGTGCCCAATATTTTCTTTGTACTCTTGCTGTATTTTCCAAAAACCATACACTATCAAAATTGTTGTTCTTTATTTCAGTGTTTGCAAGAGATGTATTAGGAAAATGGATCATCACTGTCCATGGGTTAATAACTGTGTAGGAGAGAATAACCAGAAGTACTTCGTACTGTTTACAGTAAGTTGTTTATTAAGTAAATTTATCTGTCCAACCAGAGATAATGAAATTCCAAATACGACTTGTTAAACAGCTGTGAAGATAGTGTATGGGATTTTTTTTAGTAGAACAAAACTGGGAAATATATTACAAATTAGCAAAAGTAAATAATTAGCAAGCAAGTGTAATAAAAGAACAGGAATAAATAATCAAAAAAGATACTTTGCCACTTATTTTGTCAATTGTGTAATTTTAGTAGTTATGAATTATAACACAGCAGTAAATATATTTCACAAAATACTCCACAGTAATAGCAATGAAATCTCAATCAGCTCTTTGGGGCATGGGCTGTCGTCTTGTTCTATATTCATACAGCACCTTGTGCAGTGGACTTTAGGTCTGTGACTAGGTTCCTAGGAGCTACAGTAATACAAATAATAATAGTATTGTGCCTCACTATAGTACATGCTGTTACCTCTTCACAGCAAGGGTGAAAAGAAACCTTTGTTTTTTGACAAGGATTACAAGGGTTCTATTTGTAAGTAACCAATGTTAGCACTGAAATCAGGCTTCTGATTTTCTGACTGTCCTGTATTTAGAGCAAATATATGAAAGTGCAAACTTAAGTACAGTACCAGATTTTCCATGTAAACAGTGAAATCTGGGCTCCATTGAAGTCAATGACAAAACTCCTTGGATTTCACCCAAAAAAATCATGTAAAGAGAATATTAAGGCTGCACAATAGACTTTTAGCTTGTTCTATTTTTTCAGTAATCTTTTATGACAAATTTATATTATGGTATTAGGAAATAGATGCAAGTCTTCAGTCAGGCTTGAAATAAGAATTGAGAATAAGTGTATGAACATTTTAATTTGCTTTTGATTGCATGGTGTATTGTGATATTGCCGAAAGCAAAGCTACTTAACGTTCTCTTTGAGAAGGCATACCTAGTTTAGTTGGGAAAACTGGAAAATATTTACACCACGCACTTTTCTGCTGGACTAAACTCTCTTCCGTCTCATTAAGCCTTTACTAACTATTTTAAGAAGGAAGAAGGTGGAGATATAAGTGACTCTCTTATTTCAATATCCAGATTGGAATGCTATTCCTAACTGGTTTATCCCAAATGTGGATTTTAGTTTCAGCTAAATTTGAAATGCCTGTTTTTCAAAATGGACCATATTAAGCACGTAATCTGTTTTAGAGGAAAAGATTAAACCAGTTCTTCTATTAATCTTTTTTAAGGGCTTAGAGGGAGGAAGAATGATAACACATAAAGGCTGCGTCTAGATTGGCATGATTTTCCGGAAATGCTTTTAATGGAAAAGTTTTCCGTTAAAAGCATTTTCGGAACAGAGCATCTAGATTGGCACGGACACTTTTCCGCAAAAGCACTTTTTGTGGAAAAGTGTCCGTGCTAATCTAGATGCACTTTTCCGCCAAAAAGCCCCGATCGCCATTTTCGCGATCGGGGCTTTTTTGCGGAAAACAAATCTGAGCTGTCTACACTGGCCCTTTTGCGCAGAAGCTTTGCGCAAAAGAGACTTTTGCCTGAATGGGAGCAGCATAGTATTTCTGCAAGAAGCACTGATTTCTTACAGTAGGAAGTCAGTTCTTTTGCAGAAATTCAAGCAGCCAGTGTAGACAGCTGGCAAGTTTTTCCAGAAAAGCGGCTGATTTTCTGGAAAAACTGGCCAGTCTAGACACAGCCAAAAAGTATTAAGAGAAAAATACTTTTCCATTGTCTTTCACTTGCACTTCATTTGGAAGATATTCTGTTCTCACATTTATTGATGTTTGTCTCATTTGGTGCCAGTACAGTGAAAACCTTCCTACATACATATTTGTGTATGTATAAGTGGTGGGAGTAGCAATGCCTATAGTTAACAATTTAACATTTTCCATATCAAGTGTGTGCCTCATGTTGATATGTATTTTTTAAATTTAAGTGAAAATGGGTCAGAATAAGATCGGGGAAAAATACATTTTTCCTATGGTAAAAAATAAAATTAAATCCAAGAAACACAACTTTACAACAGCTACATTGAAAAACTCTAATACACTTCCATGTTTTGGAAGAAGGACTCAAAATTTGAGAGTATTGTCTGGTTTCAAGGGTGTGTCTTTTGGCTCTCCCCCTGAAAATCCACCCAAATTTTGGCCAACTTATGTGCCCCTAAAAATCTCATTTTGCACATTATCAATAGTCTATTTTGTTCATTAGAGACTATACATAATATATGATAGGCAACATGGCTTTGGGGATAGGTAGCTGAACTGGAACTCAGGAAACCTGGGTGCTGTTGTCCTGCTGGGTGACCTTGGGCAAATCACTTCATCTTTCTGCCTCAGTTTCTCGGTCTATGAAATATGAATAATGATATTGAACATTTTGGTAAGGGTTTACAATGAAAAATGCTATGTAAAGGTTGTAATTACAAAATTACTGTGGTTGTAATAAAAAAATTGTATCAATGCATATTCATAAGGTAGCCAAATTAAGGTTGGATTAGTTTTGACATTTCCTAATCTTTGAGTGTTGCAGCCTTAGCATTTTCAATGTAGTTTTCTTGGATGTGTGTATAAGCAGCTTTTTACAGTTATGCTTTAAAAATGCTTTAATTACATTGTGTTTCAGATGTATATAGCACTAATTTCCATGCATGCCCTAATCATGGTGGGATTTCATTTCCTGTATTGCTTTGAAGAAGACTGGACAAGTGAGTATTGACAAAGGATTCCTTTCAAATACTAACTTACTCTGTAGAGAAATCATTGTGATATAGTATAGGGGAAAGACAGCTTTTTGACTGCTAGTTGCCAGAGAATGCTGTTAATGTCATTATCTAATTTTTATTTTTGTGAGCATTCCTGGAGTTTTAAAATTCCATCACTCCTGTTAGGAGTTTTCTGTCCTGAATGGTTAGTTCCTATTTAAAAACACACCATACATAACCTAGAGAACTGATAAAAAGAATGTTAAGATTCCATGTCTGTACATAGAAAAGGTTAATGTTTCCATGGATAATTCCTGTATGTTAAAGTGAGATCATAGAACTGAAAGGAACCTCAAGAGGTCAAGTCCAGTTCCCTGCACCCATTGCAGGACCAGATACCATCTAGACCAGTGTTTCTGAAAGTGTTCCACGGAAATACTTTCGGAAACACTTTGACGGACCACCCCGGATTGTTTATGTACCGGCACCGTGGCTCCCCTTGACTCTCATGTATTGCTTACAACACTCCTGTTAATACATCCCAGAATTATGTTAGCTTTTTTTACAACAGTGTCGCATTATGTTGACTCCTATTTAGCTCGTAGTCCACTATGACCCTTATATCTCTTTCTTCAGTACTCCTTTCTACATGGTCATTTCTCTTTTTGAGACACTTATCAGATGCCTTACTAAAGTCTAGATATACCTTATCTACTGATTCCTCTTTATCCACAAGGTTTGTTATCCTGTCAAAGAAAGCTATCAGGTTGGCTTGACACGATTTGTTCCTGATAAATCTATTCTGATTGTTACTTACCAACTTATTATATAAACATTTGCAAATGGATTCCTTAATTATTTTCTCCAATATTTTTCCTGGTACAGAAGTTAAGCTGACTGGTCTGTAATTCCCTGGGTTCTCTTTATAGATGGACACTGTATTTGCCCTTTTCCAGTCTCCTAGGCATAGCTCATCTTCTGCCTTTGACATTCTGAGTTTGCCCCTACATTGTTATGCTCTTCTTTTGTACTTTTCTGTAGGAATTTGTCCATGTTGCTACATTTTATAGGATTCCCTTTTGATTTCCAGGTCATTAAAATGTTCCTGATAGGCATCTTACTCTATTCTTCCTGTTTTTCCTTTCCATCTGGCTAGCTTGCAGTTGTACCTTTAATAATGTCTCCTTGAGAAACTGCCAGTTCTCCTAAACTTTTTTCCCACCACAGGACCTTACCTACAAACTACTTCTCTAAGTTTGTTAAAATGTGTTTATTTTTTAAGCCCATTCTCCTTATTTTGCTGCTTCCACTCCTTCCTTTCCCTGGAATCATAAAACCTATCATTTCTTCATCACTTTCACACAAATTGGCTTCCATCTTCAGATCTTTTATCAGTTCCTTCCTGTTAGACAGAATCAGTCTAAAAGGTTTGTTTTGTCCCACCCCCGAGTTACTTCCTCCACTTTCTGAAACAAAAAGTTGTTCCCAGTACACTCCAAGAACTTACAGCAAAACATAACATTTCCTATATTACTTTTCCAGCAGGTGTCTAGGTAGTTAAAATGACCCATAACTATAAAGTCTTGTGGTTCTGTTTGTTTGTTCAGGAAATGCCACATCACCCTCATCTTCCTGACTAAAAGTCTATAGTAGACCCTCTCTACTCTGACATCACTCCTACTTTTTTGCTCCTTTTACCTTTACCCAGAGACTTCCTACTTCTCACCTTCTGTGGACCTCAGAACAGGTGTATATCTTCTTGACATATAACACACCACCTCCTTCCTGATTCTCGTGCTGATTCTTCCTGAGCAAGCTATATTCTGGTATACCAGTATTCCAGTCATAAGACTTTCATAACTATCCTTTTAAACCGTGCTTAACCATGCAGGGACATTGCAGTATAGATAGACCTTCTGGGAAAAGGGCGGGTATGAGAACACCAAGAATATGCAACCCTTTTCTGTCTTCAAAAGGCATGAAAGGCACATGCTTTTGCTTTCTGTAATGTACACTTGGTGCTACAGAAGTAATCTTCTCTGGTGTCCACTGTCTCTCAACCATCAACTTGCGGTGCCCCTTCCTAATGGACTTCATCATAGAGAAAATAAGTAAAACCTCTACAGATCGGGTTTGCAAGCTCTAAGGTCCAGTTCAGAGCACTGGAGGGATGCTTATTTGGAAAAGAAAATTGCATGCCATGCATATCACAGTACAAGTTTCTTTCTTTAGTATTTTTAATTGGGGAAAAAAAAATTATGTCAGTAACCCTTCCTTTGGCATCACATACCCTTTTGGTAGGTCTCTGATAGTGGCAGTTATGTGAGTTTCTTATTTTGATAGAATTTTTTTTTTTGAACTCTTGAGAAATTCAGATAATCTGGTATGAGAAATTAGTGGCAGAATTTGCTGATACTAACAAGTATTTGTAGTTACATAATTTTACATGTGAACTTGTCTCTTATTTTTTGAGTATTCATTATTTTGTCATATGTTTTTACAGAATGCAGCTCCTTCTCTCCACCAACTACAGTGATCCTTCTTATCCTCTTGTGTTTTGAAGCTCTCTTGTTTCTCATCTTCACATCTGTAATGTTTGGGACCCAGGTGCACTCCATCTGCACTGATGAAACGGTGAGTGCTCCATGGTCTTGCAATTCCTTGCTCGCAGCTGTAAGATCTGTGAAATAACATGTGGTTCTGCTTCACTGCTCTAGTGTGTGTTGGGTCCTTTGAAGCTGCTATAAAACAAACTAAGCCCGCGCACAGTGGCAGAATTCACTCTAGATGGCTAGCAGAAGTAGTTGGGTAATGTGAGGATGTTGCAACTACAGCAGAAGTGAGTTGATATTTTTATCCTAATGAGGATATGTAACGGGATTACCCAGCAGAGAGTTTCACCCCAGTGGAATGAAGAATCTTGCACAACAGACCCCCTCTGGAGTTTGCTGCTAAGGAGTCATTAAAGATTCCAGTGTATAGTATCTAATGTTACTATTTACAGCTTCAAGGGCTGAAAAGCAAAGATGAGACCATTGAGGTGGAAAATAAACTTTTGTTTTGTACATTTCCAGTTTAAGTTTTCTATAATTTAGTTAATTGGCTGCTCACTGCAGCTGCATAGAAATTCAGCAGCCCTGATGTGCTCCACAGCCACAAAAGCTATCCATTAGGGATGTGAATGGTTAACTGGTGAGTATTACCCTTACCAGGTGATGCTTACCAGTTAACAGTTAACTGGCAGGGGCAGAAGCTGCCCCTACCGCCAACCCCTATTTAACTAATTTTACATCCCTATTATCCATAGTGCTAAAGCAACAATGTGGAGGTTATACAGAGACTTTGAGTCCCTTATTCAACATCATATCCTGCCTCCTCCTTCAAAGGTGAAATCCTGACTTGTCATAGTGACTTTTACTCTTGAGAATGGTATTGCCCTGAGAGTGACTGTTGAAGTCTCCCTTGTCATAGCTTAACATTAGTTCTCACTCTTCCCTGGCTAACCTAATTGGGTAGGTTGAGAGAAGTGACAGCTTTAAAGGGGCCACAGCTGAGTGTATGAGCGCAGGGGGTCCCAAACACTTTTCCCTGGAGGCCTACCTGGGCAACGGTGGTGGGTATTGCCGTTGGTGGGTAATGTGTGTCTGTCACAGAGAGGACTACCAGGATGGGGAGGGGTCCCTTGCTTTAGCAGGGACCAGAGTCAGTCAGCAGGTGAAGGGACCACAACCAGCCCCTGCTGACACCCTCTCCCGAGTGCCCTGCCAGTCACCCACCCAACACCCTGGTGTGCCTCACAGGCACCCCTTTGCCTGGAAATGAGGGAGTGACTTAATGTCAGGCTGAGCCCAGTCATTACCTGATGATCCTGATCACAGCATTGTCCAGGTGGGAATGGTGCAGCACTGTCAAGTCCCAGTCCTGAGGGGGAGGTGAAGGCTTGATTCTCTGGGGACGTGACAGTGACAGAACCATCCAGTCTCGTCCAGCTGCCCTCCTCTCAAAGCTAGTCCTTTCTCTTCACCCTCCACCTGTTGCCTGGTGGCTCTGCTTCACCCTCTGCCACCTGTCTGCAGTACTGGCTCCTCCGGCCTTGAGGAGAGACCATCACCGGTCACCACTTCACCAACATATACCGTTCGGGGAGCAATGTCCTCCTAAACTCTACCCATCGCATACAACCTGGGTCTGTCAATAGTCTGCAGCCCTCAGTTTGGAAATCTCTGTGATAGTGAGCAAGCCTGTGGAAAGTTTAAACAAAGCTAGAATCTGGCACCCCGGACCCTGGGAGAGCAGTCTGCTTCTCTTAGGTCTTTGTTCCCCAGCTAGCTTGTATTTGCACTTTCATCCCACTTACATTCAGGGCAACTTTGTCTCAGTGAAAGTTGCAGATATTTTCTGTTGAGTAGGATCCCAGGAGAGTATATTGCTGAACAACTAAGCTTAAAATGTAATATCAGCTTATAAATTAATGGAAGTGTGTGTGGAAGTCATTACTGAATTTTCAATAAATACCGGCCAAATTTTTCAGACTTCGGTGCCTAAGGATACATGTTTTCATACATGTTGGGTGTCTTTAGAAATAGTCACATGTTTATGTACATATGGCTATAGGCACCTGAATATATAGGTGCTGAGTTTTTAAAGGTCCAGGGGAGGGTATTTATTCTTTTAGAACTTCCTTCTGTGCCACCCATGTTACACATCCTTCTCATTTTGTTAGCATCAAGGCTGTGTCTAGCTGGCATGTGGATTATGATGTTGGGGAACATGTAGAAATTCTATTAAATGTGGCCTTTTTAACTTCTTTTGGCTTGCATCATTTGGGGAGGGGAGCTTGAGCTTTAAGAATTTCCCCTCTTCACCCCCACCTCTCGTGTACCCCACAATGGTAATTGTCCTCTGTTGGAAGAAGGCTAGATCCATTTTTTACTTGCCCCCTGTTATTTCTGGAGATGGCTTCACTAGTGAGCAGTGCAACATGCTTCAATCTTTAGAGCAAGTTCCCCACATGCCTGCTTGCATAGAACTTCCAGGAGTGGGAGTTCAAGACACACACTTGTTCTACAGTGTACTGAGCTGCAGTGCAGGGGATCCATGTGTATAGACAATAGGAAGATGACTGCCAAAAGGCTCTAAGTTAAAGACTGAAATGGTCTGCCAGTTACAGGTGACCAGAATGAAGGAATATCATTCTGTACTGAGAGCAAAACCAAACAATGCATTTGTAGCAGCTAGAGCTGTATGTTTTTAAGACCTAATTTATTTTACAATATTTGCAATCTATCAGGATTATTTAAATGATTACCTAAGGACCATTTCAGCTGATTGCTTGAAAGCCTGTTTTTGCTCTCCCTCTAATCTTTACTAAACCAATATCCATTTTTCTCTCCATTCAGCATACTTATTTCACTCTTTCTTCCTGCTATCTGCCCATGCATGTTTTGGCAGCAGTTTTAATGGCATGTCTGGAGGCACCAGGTATGTTCAGCCATGCTGAACAGAGGATGTTTCCTGAATTTGCATGATGAATCTGGGAGCATTATAGGGATTATCCTTGGGGTTTTTTTGTCTGCAAATTTATAATGGGTTTATATAAAACTTTCCCATATCTATCTTAGGCATATGAAAATGCTTTCAGCCAATAAAAGTACATGTTGTGTTTGTGTTAAAATTGGCACATGGGACTTATTGCAGGGTTTTTTAACGGTTAGAACATATTTTCAGTGTGATCAAAAATGGCAATTTTGTTTTCCAAGGAACATTTCCTATCTTTTATTTATTTTTTTTAAAGGAAAGGCGCTATAGGTAAATTTGTATTTTCTTACTCCATCCATATGATATGGGGTAATTGTGAAATCCTTTTCCTGAAATCAGAACCACAGCAATTAAGTGCTTGACTGAAAGTGTGATATTTCTGTTTTCAGGGAATAGAACAATTGAAAAAGGAAGAGAGAAGATGGGCTAAAAAAACAAAATGGATGAACATGAAAGCAGTATTTGGCCATCCGTTCTCTATAGCATGGCTTAGCCCATTCGCTACTCCAGACCAAGGAAAGGCAGACCCATACCAGTATGTGGTCTGAAGAATTCTTGAACAGAATTTCCACTAAAATTGAACCACATTTCAGCACTACTGTTATAAAATTTTATATGAATGTTTAAAACAAAACAAACTCTTTTTATGTCTACTAAAGGCTGTCAATTGCAGAGGAAAAAAACCCTGTCTTCTGCAGTTTTAGATAATATTATGTCTCCAGTGGCTGAAAGCGTCGTCTTTTTTTAAAAAAACTTGTTAACTTTACTGGCCTTTGTTTCTATCTGCTTTCTGTATGGCATAACTAATGTGAAAGAGACCCTCTCTCTCTGTTATGCCTGTCTCTGCTGAGTGGATATCATGCTATCTCTAGACTGTGAGGATATCTGTGAATGACACGTAAGTGCCAACGGTGCCATCTTCCAACCTACACAGATCTCTTTGGACCTCCTGATGGTGTGAACATCTCTGGCTGGGCAGTGGGTTGCTTTCATAGAAGAGGACTTTAGCTGGGAAATAGATACTTTGCTTACTGATCATTGAAAGGTGGAGACGAGGGTGTGATGCTGTGAGAGCCAATTAATATTGTGACCACATGCAGTTAAAGTATTTAAAACAAATGTTGCCAACATGATCTTTTTTGTTTTCAGAGGCAAAATTGATTCCATCTTTCTGGCATTATTGTCTGCTCCCTCCCTTGTAAGCAGAAAATGTTGCCCCTCTAGAGAAAATGTTGCAGCTTTGGGTGAAAGACTTTCTTGATTAAATGCCTTACACTTAGAGGAAAAAGGAAAATTCATTAAAAAAAAACTCTTAGGATCATTTAATGTATGTTTGACTTTGATAAATAAGCTGTTGGAGCAATACCTTTTCAACAGTGTTAACATTTAGAACATGACAACTTGCCATGAAAGTTTAGCACTGATGGTTTGTGTGTAGGTCCTTCTGAGCAATTAATTTTCTGTTTTTAGGACTGCCCCTCTTTATAACTTTGTAAATTTTTTCTTATATTTGCGTATTTTCAATTGGAAAGTGTCAGTGTTAAGGAGTATGCATGCCTACTGTCATGATTGTGTGGATAGTAAACAATGAGCCGTAAATGGTTGATGGAGGGACAGAACATTCCATCAAAAGCACATGCAGATAGTACTAAATCCGTATGTGATTGAAATTAATGTTTTTGTATTTGGGCAGAAAATGTATTGTATTCTGAATCATTTTGAAAAGGGGCAGTTAGCATTGTGTTCCTAGGAGCCCTCAATCAATCCTAAACAAAGGAAAAATGAAATAAGCTGTATTCATGGATTCCCGAAGTAATCTTTTCATTTGTTGTTTAAATACTCAATCAAAGCCATGGGGGAGGGAAAGGGATTACAGGGAGGAAAAGGCTAATGGATCTGTCTCACTTTGAAAGTAATGTGAATGCTGCATCTTTTTCAATTCTGTCAATGCTTCCATATGGAAAACAAATGCAATAAAACTTTTCCAAAAACTGTTTCTTCTTTTTTCTTACTCTAAATGTTGCACAATTTGTAATGCCTTTCTAAATTTTTATTGCAGCCAACCTGAGAAAAGCATAAAGATTAAGTAACTTTGGTGCTTATATTTAAGTTTAAGAAATAGTTAATCAGTAATACACTGTTAGCTATTTAACCACTTTTAGGTGGTTAAATAGCTATCATTGACTGCATCCGTTGGGTAAACAGACCCTGTGTTTTTCTCCTCCTTGCTTAGGAATAAATGCAGACTAGAGTGTTCCTAGTATGTACAGTATCTCAATTTGTTGCTATAGGAATGCACACCATGGATTATATGACCTCATTGTATGGTTCAATAAGTGATGGTGGTAGAGAAGAAAGAAACCTTTAGCATGTACACAGTTCTTAAGGGACAATTTCAGGAGCAGAAAGACTTTTTTTGTTTTTCTTTGATTGATCTCTATTTGGAAAGCCTTTCTCAAATGCATGTTTGAAAATCCCAGAATATGTTTACTTCTTTAATTGATGGTACGATAGGTAGTTTAATTAGTGATTAATTAAATAGCAGGTTAAATAATTAATTAAATCAGGGAGTCTGCCTGAGGCCTCCTCCCTCCCCCCATGTCCACAGGCCAGATCTGGTGGCTCTGTGGGCCAAATCCAGCCCACACAGGGCATTTTGCCCAGGCCTGCCATAGGAGAGGCAGCTCAGCATTTGAATGTGTGTGAGGTAGACATACCAAGTTGTTTCAAGGTAAGCTGCTTTTTAAATTCCCAGAAGCAATACATTTTTATCTGCCTTTATTTTTTTAAATTCTCCTGCTTTCTCATGCATTCAAATAGTAAGCAGCACTTCTTGTGGTTTCATTTTAAACTAATTTTAAATGAGTCCTTGTGAACCAATGAATTTGAAATATTACTAACTAAGCTTTGTGTAAGGTGGATTTTTTCCCCTTTGTTTTGTATTACCTATTTTCTTTCTAGAGTCTTTTTAAATGCATCTTAGGCACTTTTCCTTCTCAAACCATTCCCTCCCTAGTCCACCTCTTCAAACCTTACTGACAGCAGCATAGGTGACACCATATTAGACCAAAATACAATCCTCCCATGTCCTGTATACATATTAAATGGATGCTGGGCACTTCAGAACAGGAGGCAGCGCTACCCTTTTCCAGTCTGATTAACTGCACTCTAAGGCTACATCTCATTTTTTCAGGCAGAACGGCTCTTGTGCAAGAGGGGGTTTTTACTCAAAAAGGAACTGGGTAGCTGGCTCCTTTTTGCGCAAAAATGCATTTTGCTCTCGTGCAAAAATGGCCCCTGATTAATTATGCAAATGAAGTGTGGCGATATGCTAATCTGCACTTCATTTGCATAGACTTTGCACTAGAGGGATGCAATGTAGACGTAGAAACTCTGAAAAAGGAATTGATACTATGGTGAATCGTGTGTATAGGGGCTCTGCTGTTTGGGAATCAGTTGGAGTGTAGAAAAAAGGCTTTGTTTCCCATTTCTTCCCTTCCTGTTACACACATTTGCACTAGTTCAGGGGTGGAGAACCAAAGGCCCAGGAACTGAATGCGTCCTCTGGCTTTCCTGGATCCAGCCCCGAGGCTCACTGTTTCTACCTCAGCATTGGGGAGTCTGCAGAGGTGCTCCAGCCCTCCCTTCCCCTGCCGCCTCCCCAGTGCAAGGCTGGAGCACACAAAATCTACTAGCTTGGGCCCCCCGAGGCTCTAGCGTGCAAGAGGAATGTGGAGAGTGTCTTTCTGCTGAGGGTCATGCCAGTGAGGTATGTTGGTCCTGACTGATTTTTTCCATGGGTCAGCAGCCCCTGACTCAAAAAAGGTTACCCGCCCCTGCACTAGTGCTTAGAAATAAACAACGAAAACAGCAGTGAGGCTAGTAGTGGTTTGGTTCTGTCTCTGCAGAGAGCTCCCAGGTTTGTTAGCAAACTTCAAAGAACCTAAACCTGCTTCTGTGCTTTAAGATTAAAAGTGCATCACGCTCACTACCCCAATAGTGCAACACGGGGGGGGGGGGGGATGTTCTGAAACAGACTTGTTACTGGCATTGCATTTCAGTGTCATTATTGTCTGTCTTCTGTCCTGCTTAATAGAAGTTGAGCACCACACTCACCAAGCAGCAATAATAGTAATGGAGCCTACATTTGCAATGGCTTCCTGTTAGAATGGATAATATGTTGTCGAAGTCGTACATTTCCTTGTCCTTCTGTAAGCCATTTAGGCCATGAGCATTTTCAAAAGTCTTTTTTGAAGTTCTAGCTTATGGACTTGTTTCCACGAATGGAAAACTGCTCTAAATGAACTCTGCAAAAGGTTTCAGTTGAATGCACAGAAATGCATCGTGCTCTTGCTCTCTTGCCTGCTTTTATACCAAATCACTTCTTTGGCACTACAACTGCTGTGGTAAGTTGAGGGTTGATAACACAAAATCAGCAGGCCTGAATAAAGGCCTGTAACACAAAAACAGTAACCTGAAATCTAGTGAGCAAGACTTTGGCTCAGTGAAATGGCAGGCAGGAAAGAGGCTTGACTCTTGGGAAACCCATATTGCATTATTTATCAGCCTGCTACTTGTAAAATGGTGGATACACTGATTATAAAGGCAATGCCTGAGATGAATTTTCAGCCAAATTCTCCTGAAAGAATCTCTGGATAATCAGAGAATCAGTAAAATTCACTTATCACAATAATGAGAAGTATTCTTAGCCAGACTGTGTTTTTTTTTATAACACCTTTTTAATTTCAGCAGAGTTCTGAGAAAATATCTTTAATTAAGACTCAGTATCTTCAATTAACAGTGGAGGAAGTTCTTACTCTAGATTTGTGTGTTACAGTAAGCATAGGCTGTCCATGTATGGACCAGAGCCCTGCTGTGCTAGGCACTAAACAAATAACAGAGTGGGGGGGGGCAAAGAACTCACAATTTAAGGCTATATCTACACTAGAGCGCTCATAGCCGTACAACTGTACTGTGGCAGCTGTGTTGCTGTAAGGTCTCCTGTGTAGTTGTTCTATGCTGATGGAGGAGTGCTCAAAAAATTAAGACTCTTTTATTGCAATAATTGCATAGAAGTTGTTCCCTGAAGATGGTTTGTGTGCACACCAAACTTGGAAACGGAATCAATTGGTAAAAGTATAAAACAAAGCATTTTGCCCTGATGCAAATGGAGATTGAAACACAATCATTAGTATAGATGTCTGTGCATATGCATCCACCCTCCACTATAGTAATGAGTGCTGCAAAATAATAAACATCTCTCTTTCTTCTACAGGGTATCGAGCGCCTTAAGAATCAGACGCCTACTTGGGAAAAAGTCAGCAGGTGGGAAGGAATGAAACTGGCTTTTGGTGGAAATTTCTCCCTGAGCTGGTTCAATCCTTTTTCAGGCCTGACTTGCAAAAAGGCTCCACCATCTGGGGTGGCCGCAGTTGGTCCACCTGAAATAGTGAGTGAAGAGGCTCTTGAGCAGTTCTTGGAACAAGAGGCTGGTGTTGAAGTGTTAAATGAGTAAGCACAATGTTCTCCAAAATGTTGTCAAGCACCCAGGTTTTATGAGATGTTTGCACCCCAGATTTAGCTTTGAGGGACCATGGTGCAGAAAGCATCTGGACATTCTTGTCCAGAAGTCAAGTGGAGTGCTATAGAGGCAATGCAAATCCCTATTGAATGCCCAACCGACAATGTAACACACAACACTTTTTCCTGCCATTGGAAAGATTTTATTAAGCAAGAGAAACTGCTCAGCTTTGGAAAGTTCCTAAATGTTCAAGGAGTTACTCCTTTTTTGGCTCACCAGGTGCTGACAATGCATGAAGTTCCCAGTTCAGGTGTCAGCTGTCTCAAAGTGCAGAGCAGATGCAACAAATGGGCAAAGTCATCCTGGCGTAATGCCATATATCCCTGAGAGGTAGCTGTGTTAGGCTACATTTAGACTGCAAGCCTCTTTCGAAAGAGGCTTTTTTGAAAAATACTTTCGAAAAAGCTTCTTTCGAAAAAAAGCATCTAGACTGCAATCTCTTCTTTGGAAAAAGTGAGCTGCTTTTTCTAAAGAGAGAAACCAGGCAGTCTGGATGCTCTCTTTTGAAAAAGCCCTGTTTGCATTCAAGAACGCCTTTTTTCGAAAGAGCACTTTCGAAAAAAGGCGTTCTTCCTCGTGAAATGAGTACCGCCGTCAAAAGAAAAGCCGCGTTCTTTCGATTTAATTTCAAAAGAACGCAGCTGTAGTCTAGACGCAGGTGAAGTTTTTTTGAAAAAAGGCTACTTTTTTTCGAAAAAACCCTGCAGTCTAGACACAGCCTTAGTGTGTAACTTTAAAAACAGGGAGTGGACTACTTGTTATTGATATCCCTGGAATCGCACTGGATAAATTTAGTCCAGTGTAACTCCAGCTACTCAGGGCTATCACTATCGATACGCAAAATATGCAGCTGCATGGGGCAACATTGCCCCAAATATTGTGATGCCCTAGGCAGCTGCATGCTGCGGATGTGGCACCAGCTCTGGAGGCCATCCCTAACTGGCCCCCATGGGTTGTGCCCAGCTGCCATTCACCAGCTGTTTCGCTTCTGGTGGTACTGCCGCTTGTCTCCAGGTGACTGAATGGACACCCCCTGCTCAGTCTCTGACACACAGCTTGTGCCACTCCCTGGCTGGCCCCACACCTCTCACCTTCTCCCCATCTGCCTCCTTGCCCTGCTCTTTGGGTCTGCCCTCCTAGCCTGCGACACTGCAGCCTCTCTCCACCCGCAGTGTCCGACCCCCTCACAGCAGTCGCGCTCCTGGGAGGAGGTGACGGGGGTGGTTGCAGGTGCTCAAGCTACATAGGGCACGCTGTAAACTTCAGTATCTTAAATATTCAGCTGTCAATTCTTGGTAGAAGTTGACTATTTCTGTAATACTTTAGGCAGTTATGCATTTGTAGTTAGTAAATGTTTACATGAGAAGACATGCCAGAAAGAAAAAGTTTTATTACCAGGAGTTGGAATGGTTG